AGATTTGCCATTTTCACATAAATGCAGTTCTGATGTCAAATGTAATAAATGTCTAATAAATTTCAACTTCTACGTGCCTTAATACTTAATACTACTAAATGCATTAAAGCATTTGCCTCTCACTACCATTTGGGAGCCACAGGAACCTTTTGGTAACACTTTGCCCCCTATTTACTGTTAATAAGCAGTGTATAAACGTGTATATATATACATCTTTTATAACCTACTATAATATAGCAGATATAAGCAATTAGTAAATGTTTTGATAGTGCGCAAGTTGCCCTCAAGGATTACATTTTAGCCCATTTCATGGCTGCTGGCTACAGCGCTGTTACTCAATACTTGACCAAATTCGAAATGTGTTGTCCCCATTAGTCATTAATATTATATATTTTTTTATACATTATAGTGTGTAAACCATTTAATAAATGGTTAAAGTTAAAGTCGTGTTGCCAAGATTTTTCAACCTTGCACTGAATCTGTACTTGTAGATTAACGAGTGTAAAGCACTGAAATGTGTGTGTGTGTGTGTGTGTGTGTGTGTGTGTGTGTGTGTGTGTGTGCGTGCGGTGTGTGTGTTTGTGTGTGTAAGATAAAGGGAGGTGGATAGAGGAGAGAAAAGGTGACACCCTGGTCACCTGAGAGGTAACTAAATTATTTTCAGCTCTCTTCCTTTCATTTACCCTGATGAGTTCTGTCAACGTTAGCTTGACCGATTGCTCTGTGGGGAAGTGATGAAAGTGGTGCTGTGTGTGTGTGTGTTTTAGTGAATCTCTGTCTGTCTATATACTATATGTAAGTTAAATGAGCTCAATATGGTTACTTGTAAGTCTGCATCAATTCCATTGTGTGTGCTTAGGTGTTTTTCTTTAATATGAATGAGTTCCCTCTGGTGCATTTGTGTGTGTGTGTGCATGTGTGTGCGCGTGTGTGTGCATGTGTGAGAGAGGTGTCCATTTAAGGGTTTTTCGATGAAGACTGACGAGTGTCCGCTTCACTTCCCTTCATCTCAGGGGTCTCGCTGGTGCTTTGAGGAAGTGTCCTGGAGGAGAAATGGAGTGGGTGAGAACTAATGCGAGTCGAGCGAGACGAGGCTGATGGACGACTCTGTGTGCATATGCGCGTGTGTGTGTGTGTATGTGTGCGGTTGTGTATGTGAGTATGTGTGTGTGAGGCTGATGGAGGGTGATGGTCGGAGTGAGATTTAACGAGGAGGAAAATAAGCTGAGCAATCTCTGTCTGTCCTCCCCTCTACCTCCCAATGACTTATTCACACACACACACACACAGACACACAGACACATAGACACACTTATACACACACCTTTGGCACCCACAACTGAACTATCTGACCACCAACTCAGGCTTGTTGCAAAGGCAGGAACACAGTATCCTTAGGTTCCTTTTTATAACATTGACCATTCTGTATACAATATGTTTTACACTCAAAGCTGTACATGACTACAGTTCATTGCTTAAATAAATCAATACACTATATTGAAATAATGGTATACCTGTTGTTGTGTAACAGGATAAATTTCACTTTTTCAAAGAGAACAGATGCTTTCTCTCTCTCATTTTTAAGTTCATTCCCCCTCTCGCTCAGTCTATTTATCATCCTCTCTCTCAATGATGAGTTAGTGAGAGATAGTGAAGAAACGAGTAATTACAAGGCGGATAGGATCAGATGAGGAGGTGATGTTTGTACCTTTTAGAATTCAAAATGGAAATTATCCCCATGTGTGGGTTTCGTTAGCAATGTTCTTTTTTTGTATGTTTTTTTTTGCGACCACTTCAAATTTCAAGTGTGTGTATCTCTCTGCTGTGTGTGTATGAGTGGGACACAGCAGGGTTAGACTGATGGGTCTGCATCCCTGTGTGTTCATGTTACCGCAGAGTTTTTCCTGTGTAGTGACCATCTGTCCCAGACAGTGTTTAGTATTGATTCTCTGGGGAATTTTGGAGTACAGATTACTGTAAAATATGCGGTTATAAGTGGGTTATATTTTTAGGTCTTGTGTCCTGAGTTTTTTTTTTTCTCTTATGCTTGTGTTTAAATATCACCAACTAACAAAAGTGACACAGAAGAGCACAGGTTTTTACTAATAACATTAACAGTAGCTTTGTGACAGTGAGTCAGCATAAACAACTTCAGGGTTGTGTCCAAAATCCCTCCCTTTCTGATGCACTATATTTACCCTCTGCCTATCTTAGTGTCTGTATTCTGAGAGTGACATTTATGCTCTATGTTGTGCCCACAAAGATTCCCAAGTTGTGTTCAACCTGACCAGAAATCTAATTAGTCTAATGAGCCACACCTATGTGGGTGTGCAGGGTCTTTAATTGCAATTTATTTAAGCAGTGGTTTTGTGAGGGTGCTTGTGTTGGTAGGCTACATTAAACACTGATGCACCGAGAAGTTTGGCATATTCTAAGTTAAATGGAAAAAATGGTCTCTGTTTACATTGCTCAATTTACAAAGATACACAGCTTTAGATCCTGGGTCTCATGATCACACATTTCCATTGTTGAACAGTTTTACAAAAGAATGGCTTATCTTATTCAAACCTCATGACAGCTTAGCAACAAAGAGATCATTCTTAAAGACATAATATGTAACATTAAAACAGTAGATCTATGTTTTATATATATGTAGAAATTGTTGAGTTGTGCACTCATATCTCCTTTGTGCATGTGTTGTGGTCATTAATTTACTTTTTATCCAGTTATAAGCCACATTTTTAGATACGCAGGCCCTCCAGGATTTTCTTTGTCTGCCAAACAGCATTGAAGAAACACTGATTTTAGGGTGAAACTACTTTATTGAGTGTTTTTACCAGTTTTAATCAGTGGGTTTGTTTTGGAGAGGAGACCTCTGTGGATAATTTGTCTCCCTGTAGAAACTTCCTGAATGGTGATCACTGAAGGTATCCTAACCAGGAGAAGCTGACTGCAGTGACAACAATGGTGGTGAAGACTGCTGAATAACATTATCCCTCTATATAAGCCTAAACGTTAGCTATAAGCCAACTATTAACGAGTCTCACAGCAGCTGTAAAGCATTTCTGACCGGAGCTGCAGATGTGTGACAGTGTCAGTTGTAATAATGTCCTTGAGGTTCAGTTCAAGGTTTTCTCCTCCTCCTTCACTTTCTACTATTTTTGGGTTTTGCAACTTGCATCGGTCAGAGGCAGCAGCAAGCGGAAACACATACACACACAAAAGACGTAGCAGGTCTGTTTGTACACACACTGAAGTGCACATTCATTTACAGTGTGACTGCCACCTCCCAGGTGTGTCATCCTGCTGCCAGCCTGAGTCTGGTGCACCAACCACCCTGGAGACACTGGCTGATGAAGTAGCAGATAGAAAACCTTTGAACTGAAAGCGACAGAGAGAGAAAGAGAGAGAGAGAGAGAGAGAGAGAGAGTATGGAAAAGGCATTTTGCCATGGTCATGCAGAGGAAAGTCAGACCAGACTGTGCCAGCAAACCTCTCGTCTCTCCTCTGTACTGCTGCCCGTTCTCCACAGGAACTTCTGCTCTATTCATCCACGTCTGCCTCCACTATCAATCTTCATAATTTGCTTTTCAACTTCCTGTTTTTTGTCCATCCCACATTCCTATTTTTATCTCAATACTGAGTCCGTTGTCTTGTAATGCTGTCTTCATACTGACAATAACTAAGTTTCTGTATACATGGACATGGGAAATAGATGTATTGAGGGGCCTATGGCACCCCCTAAAATTGATTTAGATTTTTTTACTTTTTTTTACTGGGATTTGCTGTATATGTGTAGTGCACTAGTATTTGTGGTGGGAAAGAGGTTTAACATTGTTTTTTTAACCCTTCCAACACCATGGCATGGCAAAGGAAATGGGATCTATCCCAGGCCATTACATTGAGGTGTTTTAGGTGGTCCCGCTGAATTATAGTAACCAAAGACATCAAGACACATAGTCAGACAGTTCAATCCAGCCAGCTACAGCTAGAGTACACAAGGTAACTGCAATTGTTGCCACTGTAGAGTGACACATACAGGCCAATAGTACAAAAGGATGTGTGATTTGGCAAAGGATTAATTTGTCACATAGAATTTAGTATCATATCAATAAATGCTCAAATTTCTTAGCTCCCCCAACTCTGACTGACTTCCAGCATTCCTGACTGTATATTTATATATTTTACTGAAGTTCAAATCTAACTTAATCTCTGCAGCTCTGTCCACTTTGTCCTTAATACATTAACTTAAGATTTAAAATAACTCTATATTAACCTCTCTGTCTGTTTCCAACCATTTCTCTTTCTCCCTCTCCATCCTCTTGTCTCTTTTAAGCATCTCTCCTCACAAACACACACACAGTGCTCTGCATATCTCTCAGTATCACGTTTGTCTAAGCAAATAGCTCAGTCACCACTCTATTCAGATGGGTGAGCAGGTAAAAATGGTTTGCGTATCGTGTTCCTCAATGATTTGAAACATGGTCCACCACAGGAGATGTGATTTTAGATTATTAATGAGGTTCCACAACACTTTGTCTTTCCCTCCATCATGTGAGCAAATGAATGAAGGAGGTCAACAAGTGAACAAATGGCCCACTGTAACATTGCACTGACAAATGAGGGTGATGTAATGCGGTATCAGTGTTTATAATCGTGCATTCATTACTGCTAATGTGGCCATAATGAGACTATAATCAGCTTACTAATTGAGTGTCATTACAGGGGATGCTGGTGCTGTGTTCACCCCATAGATGCCTAATGTCACTGTCACTGTTACTTATTGAGCAAATGGTGGTAATAATCACATTGTATGATGAAATAAGGAAGGAACTTAATCTGCTCCTTATGGTCCTCATTAAAAAGTATTAGTCCAAATAGAAAAGCTGTTTTATTTTGAAGGATTGTGCCAAGTAAAAGTCCTCGTTAGAGCTTTATTAGTGACATTTTTGGACAATTATCTCAATGCTTTTCTAACCAGGTGCATCTTATTCTTTCAGGTGGTGAGTTAAAAGGAGCTGCAGTGGTTTCTCCGGTGTCACCACGTCTGGTAACAACTCTCTGTCATGTCTGCTGAAGACTGCTGGAACAGCCCCATAAACAGATTCTGCATTCAATAGACTGAAGATCAGACTGGATGAAGCCAATTTTTATTTATGACACTTTAACAAACTCACCTTCTCAGAACTTATTTTCTACTTCTTGTCAAGAGAGGCAGTTTTTGACGAGATCATCCCAACTTATCTGAACACTTGACAGCTCTGACCCACTTATCAAGCTCCTGTAAGCAAGAGAGAAAACGTTGCATTTAGCAGGCAACATCAGCAAAGGCACTGTTTCATATTCAAGGCCATTGATCCACTGACCTCCTGATCTAATTAGCCGCACACAAACACCAACACATGTAAGCAAACACCTTGGTCTGGCTCACACAGATAAACAGCTACGGGTGTCAGAAGTCCATCTTCACATTATTACCTCCCCTAGAGAGCACCGACCTTGACTGTGATCAGACACGTGTTTGTGTGTTTGCATTAGCAGAAGGAAGTGTCACGTTCTGTCTGCTCTGATTAAGAGTGAGAATGAGAGCTGATGTGGCAGAGCGGCCCTGATAAATACTCTAAAAACATTACCGCCTAAGGGTTGGCTGCTCAAATAGGGACACCATTGAGCTTCATTACACTGTTTAGTCAGTTCCTCAAAATGTGTGACACTAAAAAGTAGTCCATATTAATTGAAAAGTGTGTGTGTGTGTGTGTGCATATATGCATGTGTGTCTGTCACATTGTCAGAGCAGATTAGGGCCAGGCCTTTCTGGGTCGTATCATTCTGACTGACCTACATTTGACTAAACAACCTGGCCAGCTGAGGAAGATGTGTGTGCAAGTCCTGCCGTGATCAGAATACATACATCTTAGACAAATACGTCACACTCTCTGACCTAGAGATTCCTGTTCAGTCTTTCGACTTGTACTTCCTACTACCTGCTAACTAGCTTTTTATTTAGGCCACATGCTCTTAACCCAACAAACAGGGTCTGCAATATAAAACTTGTAAACTACCTTTTATTAAGCCTCTTAATCAATCTCCAGTTTGACCTTTCCTCCTGCGCCACCCCTCATGAACACCTTCCCTTCCTTCTCCGTACCTCCTCCCAATACACCAACCATCCAGTCAGTGTGTAAGCCCTGCCTTCGGGCCCCGTGGAGGATGAACGATGTGCCCACACTTGACTACGAGTTGCTGCTGTCCCCGGCCAGCTCCTCACTCACCGGCAGCCCTGGCGGTGGCAGCAGCAGCCCCCCTCTGGCCTTGGTTGGGGTGGACAATGAACAGCGCACCGCCTTTGCCTTCGTAGGTCTCCTCATGCTTTTCCTGGTCTTCCTGCTGGTCAGGTGCTTCAGGATCCTGCTGGACCCCTACAGCCGCATGCCTGCATCATCCTGGACTGACCACAAGGAGGGGCTGGAGAGGGGCCAGTTTGATTATGCATTGGTGTAAGGTGAAGTGTAAAGAGGGGGTGGAAAGGGGGATATTTGATTTCACATAGAGACTTTAAGAGTATTGAGTAATTTAGATGTGGAAATGGAATGTACCAATGCATAATATTGTGAATGCACTCTAAAAGGGGGGTTTACCTGATGTAAGTATGCCTGGTGTATATCACTGTATTGCAGCCTGTGTACTGGTGTAAATATAAATAATAAGGCTGCAGGATGCTATGTAAGCATAAAGTCTGGTGCAACAACAGGCATGCAGACAACTGTGAATCAAACACTGACAGTTGTCTACATACACACTCACAAATCCAGACTGTGACTATGAAGGACAGAAATAATGAGCTGCACAGCTGCCTTAACCTGACCTACTGTACTAGTCGAACATGCTACCACATCACAACATCACTTTAGGGCTAGGTTTTCCAAACTCCAGAGCTTATCAATATGAAAAACACAATATGATTTTGGAGAGACCACATTCACTCACAACATAGTTTATAACCTCAAAGCTTTGATGAGAACACAGGCAGAACTTAAATGAGTGAGTTTACACTTGAGCAGATGCCCCTTTAATAAACCAATGTCTATTGTAAAGCATCCAAGTGTTGAGTGCTGATCAAGGAGCACAAATCCTCACTTTTTTATTTTGGACACTGATCCTCGAACAGCACTGCAGTTTCAGATGCTTTTTAAGGCCCAAGCAGGTAGTTTGTGTCTCCATACATTTTGTCAGTGTATGTTTTGTGTGTTACTGTGTCTATAACTGAGAAGCCATATTGAAACTATATAATCTCTTATTACTGCAAGTAGACTTTATGTTCACTGGTTGTGTCCTTTGCTTTAGTCAGCCTGCCAAGTGTGGTGATGAAGCAAACAGCAACCTTTAGGCAAAAGAAAGCTTTATTTTTCTATTCTTGACTCAAGTTTGGGAGTCCCCTTTTGCTATCTTCTGGTCCTCTTCCTCTTACTGTATCAATCTTTAGACTGTGGATTTTTGAAGTAGTCATGCAGCCACGTCTTAGAATGCAAAGCAGGTAGCTTTGCTTTTTTGTGTGTTTTTTTATTACATATTTTTCTGACTGCGTGCTTTGTTTTTGATACACTGGGTTGAATCAGTGAAAATAAAAAAAGGATTTTCTTCTTCAATTACTCTTCTGAATTTCCACTGATAGCTGGACTGTGTGGAAAGTCCACATTGCTCATGTTGGAAATTAAATAAATGATTACTACTTATTTGTCACCTGTGTCACTTTTGTTAGTTGGTGATATTTAAACACAAGCGTAAGAGAAAAAAAAAGACTCAGGACACAAGACCTAAAAATATAACCCACAATACTTTATTGCCATTAATGTCACCGGACAAACGTTTACAATATTGTGTGAATCACTCTAATTTTACAGACTGCCATTTGGTGTCATGAATCTTTGGTTTTTTTGTTATTAAAAAATGTGGCTGATTGATTTATTGATGCTCAGCTAGTAGATGTGGCGTGACTGGATGATTGTCATTTCAGCTTTTAAGCTGGATTCTGGTATCAACAAGTATCAGGCTTATGGTGAACATTTAAACAACTGAAACAGGCTCCTTATTTTTTATGTATAAAGCACATATTTCAATGCAAGCAGCTGATGACAGTATTGTTTCAAGTTTGACACTGAAGCTGAGTTACAGTAAGCACACGCAACACACTGCCTTTTTTTTTAAACATAGTGGCAAAGAAAATAAAAATTACAAACTGACAATACAGATACAAAGTATACAAAGGTTCCCAGGTTAGAAAAATGGTTATGTATTATAAACATTGCCTTGGCTGTGGGACAGTGCAGCAACCTTGACTGTTAAGAGAAAAAGATTATTGTTTAGCACCATAGATCTAGCTGGAGATGGTCAAGTTTGCATTGATCCGTGTAAGCTTGTATGAGATAAACGATGATGGGAATGTTATTATCTTTAAGTTTGACGTGTCTTGATTTCTTTTTGCTAAAGGTTGATTTGACTGATAACAGTGGTTTCAAACTATACAGTCAGCGATCAACAAATGTAAAGCTGCATTTGCTTTTTCTTTTGCTACTTTTTTTCTCAACAAAACAAAGTCAACAGCACTTAAGGCCTTCAGTCTTGGATTTACTGTGAGTATTTGTTTTGGCAGCCTTGACATAAAAAAAAAAAAACATCTACATTTCACTTAAAAATATACAATTTAATTTTCAAGAAGCAAGTTTGATAATATTGGTTTGTTTTTCAGCACTGAGACAATACAAAAGACAGACATACACAACAACAATAAATCCTAGCAAAAAAAAAAAGTCACTGTTGCAATCCAGATTCAAGACTGCACTTTCTTTGTACAGCGAAAGAGATGGTATTATCTAGCACCTTTTTTTCTCTTTGAGAAAAAAAAAAATCATGAGAAATGAAAGATGACCTGACAGATATTTGTTTTTTTGTGAGGTTTCGTGTTCACCTGTGCGTGCCCTTACACTGTAAAGCACTACCTTTAGTTACAGCTTAGGTAATGTTGACATGTCATGTACCTTTGAGACTGTGACAGTATTCAGCTGCGTGTCTCTTTGTGTTGTAAACGAGGCTCAGACCTCAGACATCCAGCTCACGGTCAAAGAAGTCAGGTAAAGTCAGCTTATTGTCAAGTTCAGCCTCCCAACACCGGCTGTCAGCTACGGCTGTATTCTCCTGAAGCATTTATGTTTAGGAGTGAAAATGCAGAACCAGGAGAAGCTACATGCCTCTGACAGCCGACATGGGAAAAGACTTTGGACTAAAAAAGCTGGCTCTCAGGTCCATAATCAGTGCACCTGAAGTCTTAACCCCTACAAGGATAAATACAAACGAGACCTGATCTATCTTCTTTTAAGTCTACGAGCTACTAAAACTGGTGTATTCCCTGCTCATGATGGATGCTGAGCGATACTAGCACCCTCTTTTGTTTTACGTCGGCATCACAGCATGGTGTCCATACTCTGTGAGAAGTACTGAGGTAACCAAACATGACAGCACACACACGCAAACACGCTAATCCCTGCTTGCCACTGCCTGCAGACAGGACAAAAGTCAGTCACATCAGAGCAGAACACAGCTTGCTTTTCATCTGAAAATTGGTTGGCATCCAGCTATAAAAAAGACCGCTATGGACTAAAGAACCTGAAATGCTGTGTAAATGTTGCAGTCCTTTGTGTTAACATTATTCAAACAGCACAAATACATTAAATGACACACTACAATACTGATAGGGGCAGGCGTGATAAACCTTGTTCCCCAGAGTTGTGATTTTCTACCAAGATCACAGAGAGGTGAGAAAGTCCCTGGACCACTATGATGGCACCCAACCCCTTATCTTTAACCATAATATCATTTCTTAATAACACTCAACAAAAAGACATCACTTTAGACTGTACTGTGATTTAAATACTACCATACATGTTGCATAAAGACAGTTTGGCCACTCTCAGCACTGATTTCATTTCTCCTTTGTGTAATTTCTTGTTTTGTTTGTTTACAAAAGCGCTTCATGGACTTGTGAACCATCTGTCTGCCAGTTTGTCTTTATTAGGGGGCTATGGTCCAAGCACTAGGGCACCTCTCTGCCACCTCCTCCACTGGCTCTCTCAGTGGAGAATGAGTGCTGGGTAGGGTACAATGGAGGGGCGCAAGAGGAAGTGTAGTCAGGGTAAAAAAAAAAACACAAAACATGAACATATAATAACATAAACAGTAACAAAGTGGTGGTAGAGTTGGGCTGATTGACTCAGTCTTTCATAGCCCTTGATTACCCCCTGTTGGTAGGGATGGTCCTGCAGGGGGGAGCTGGAGGAGGAGGAGTTATTTGATAAAAGGGGCAGGTTAAAACTCAAAAGAATCAGTCCAGGACAGGATTGCAAGCACACTTTTAGCTCAGTGCAGGTGGATGTTGAGCTTGATGCGCAGGGCGTCTCCTATTTCCCCTTGTAGGTAGTCAGTGTCGTGCTGCTCCTCCAGCTGGTGTAGTCTTCGGGGCCCAAACAGCCGCAGGCTTGCAATCTCTAGTCGGTAGGATCCTTTTGGAGGTGGCCTCTTGCCAAGCCGGAGAACACTCTTTCCATCACGGCGTTCCAGCAGGCGGAAGTGTTCATTACCATTACCATGGGTGATGACATAGCGTACATGTTTCTCCAGGGGCTGCAGGGCAGGCAAAAGCTCCAGTAGAGGCTCCTTGTTCAGCAGCGAGGATCGAGAAAGGTTCATGTGGATGGAGTCCTGGGTGTCCACACTAGCCATGCTCACGGCTGAATCCTATAGTGAGGACAAAGACACAGGGAGGGGACACACTCATAAAGATCAAAAGACAACATTTCTTACATCAGAAAATCAAAAGTTACCCAGTCCTGTCCCTGAAACTGACAGTGACGAGCATTGTGAAGCAGTATGTACCTGGTTGATCTCATTTTCATCAGCATTGCGCTTGTGTCTTCCATTCTTTCCTCCGTTGATCTTACATTCGTAGCATGCCTCAGGAGACAGACTGTCATCATCCTCACCCTCTGTAAACTGGCCTGAGAAACCCGAGCCTGTTATACAGTGACTGGATGGAAACAACAAGAGAGTTCAGTATATTGAGTAAGATGGAAGAAAATTTATTTAAAATTAATTCAATACTTATAGCAAATAAAACACAATCAAATCTTTTACTCAAAAAATGTCTGGTGACTCCACTTTTCACTTGAGAAATACCAGTTGCTTGAATCAAATCTTTCATTTGTGTTCCCTCACCCTTGGCCGGCCCTATAGAAACCTCCAGGACAGCCACACAGGTAGCCTCCATCGGTGTTGGAGCAGCCGTAGATACAGGGGTTGGTGCCTGTGCCGCATTCATTCACATCTTGACAGCCACCAGCGTTCTGCTCAAAGTCAAAGCCAGAGGGACACACACACTTGAAGCTGCCCAGCGTGTTGTAGCAGGAGGCAGAGCCGCATACTGTTCCTCCCTGACACTCGTTTTCATCTGCAGAGGAAAGAGACAGACAAATACATGGTGCGTGTGTTCAGAGATGATACAGTACACAGTTGTTTGCATGTTGATGATGATGATTATCTTAATAGACAAATGCTTGAGTATAATTCCATCCTGTTTCATTTGGTTATGCATAGGAGTTCAGAGAGGCCTCTCTATTTTTAAAAATCATTGCAAACTGTTATATATCAACATGATATATCGTCTTGATTTCCCTTTTCTATATTGGTCAGATCAACAATGAGCATACAAATATCACCTTCTGTAAAACAGTAAACTTGTATGACTATTTTAGCGTATTGATAAATCAAAAACAAATATTTATTGTTATAATAATTATGATAATTCTAATTTTCATTCCTGTTATTATATTAATCCAAAATAATAAGGACTTATCCTCAATCATTTAACACTAATAATTCAAGGAGAAACGTCAAATTTCTTTGAAATAATCCCAATCACATTTATGCTTTCAGGACCCAGGGATTTTTATATAAAAATATATACATACTGTGAACATTTTGTTGCAATCTTATAATAAGCCTTAAAAAATGAATACATTCCCCAGGTCCTCTATTCTACTTTGTGCTGGTGCCTTTGATGTTCATTCCTGTCAACTCACAGACTGAGTCAGTGTAACTCACCCACGCACTGGTTCCACTGGTAGTGCTGCACATAGCCCTGCGGACAGCCACAGCGGAAACCTCCCAGCATATTCTGACAGCCATGCTGACAGCGGTGGTTACTGCCACACTCATCCACATCTGAGGAATATAAAAATAAAGACTTTTAATTTCTCATTCTTAGCATAGACACTAGTGCAACTCAGTGCCGTCTTCAACTATCTCAGTCACAAACATCTCAGAAGAACCCAAGTTTCTGTGATTTTGAAATTTAGAAGGATCCTGTGTGAGAGAACTGCCTCACTAAACTATTTTTAACTAAATGTAAACGTTACTGTCTGCTCACCTTCACACTCCATGCCTGTGCTGTCCAAGGAGAAACCTTTAGAGCATTCACAGTTAAAGCTACCAGGTGTGTTGACACAAGAGGCCCGGGAACCACACCCACTGTTCTGAGCGTTACACTCATTGTTG